GGACAGGCACAGGAAGGGGCGTGGGTACTTGGCACTGGCCCCTCACCTGTCAGCCAGCATCCCCAGAGGTTTAAAAATCTCATCTCTGTAGAGCTGCACCCAAGGGGTGCAGGATGAGGCAGCAGGACCCTCAGATAACCCTCAGAGCAGGCTCTGGAACAGCATCAAGAATTTATTCTCTCTGCTCACCATGCACTGTGCCATTTCCAGCCTTATTGACACTGCTGCAAACCATTTGGGTTTTGTTTATTTTCAGAATAAAATTATGGGGAGGAGGAAAAGAGAGGGAGAGGGAAGGCTGTTTTAATTTCCAGGATCCCATAAAACATCTCAGCCATTCCTGGCCCCAACCTTTGCCAAGTGGCCCCATGGAATCTCACCCTGGTTTGCACCCTGCCAAACTTTGAGCATCCGTGCACGGGGTGGTCCCAAGGACACTCAGCATCAGTGGGTGCAAAACATGGGGAGGGGGTCAGTGGATCAATTTTAATGATATAAATAAATTAATCAGACAGACAGGACCCCCCAGGGCCCTGCAGTATTTCAGTCCCTTTATTTCGATGGTTACACAGCTTCATCCCAGCGTCTTCGTGGGGTGCTGGGAGGTGACCGGCTCCTGGGCTCTGCGGGCAGCCGGCAGCAACGTTGCATTAAAGCCCCATCTAGAGGCCTTTCACCGAGGAGACTTTGGGAGGCAGGGACCGGCTCTGGGGTCACGTTGGGTGTCCTCATGCTCCCACCTGAGCTCCTCCAGCTTAAATAAAAACAACACCGGACTGCGAATGAAGGGGAGGACAAACAGGGGTAAATATATCTCAACAGGAAGCTTTGCCTGCATGTTTCCCTGCTGGAAAAATGCAAGAATCATCCTTCGTGCACATCTCCAAGAAGCCGGTGTGCTCAGCAAGGGGAGAGTGGAAGGAAACCCGGCTTGCTCCGAGCATCTCTGTGCAGAGGTGCGAGGCTGGTTCCTGGGAAGGCAGCGCAGCCCTCACCCTTACTCATTTCCTCTGCCTGCAGCAGGGTGCCACAGACAGGGAGATGTGCTGGGGTGTGCGTGACTCTTTCCAAAGTGAGACAGCACTGAAAATAGTCAGCGCTTCTGCTTTTTGTTCAGGAGGAAGGGGAAGCCTAAGCAGGTGCTGACTTCGCCGCTGATGCTGCTTGTGGTGTTGGGGGACTGTGCACCGGTCCTGGGTGTAGCATCCTCCCCGGGCAGCCTTGAGGCTTTCCAGGTCCTTCAGCAGTTGCTGGGGTGACACAGAAGCCGGGTGTTTCTGCTCAGCAAGGTGGCCTTGGCCGGTGTCCCTGGAACCACCGACAGCAGAGGGCAGTGGCACATCGGCACAGGCGTGGAAGCGCTCGGCTGCTTTAAGCAGGCGTTTTATTTACAGGATGAAGGGAAACAACCAAATTTAGGGTTTTCAGTGGCAATGTCACATCAGAAAACAGTGCTGCTGCTGGCACGGCAAGGTCTTTCCAGGACCGAAGCAAGACATCAGGGCACAACGCGAATGAGGGGCCAGGAGGTTGGGGAGCTTGGGGAGCAGCAGCAAACCTGGGGTCCTGCAAAGGGCCCCAGCATCTCGCACCCACTGCCCGCCTTGCCCTAGGGGTGACTCTGACCCCTGACAGACACCGGGACATCCTCGGGCAGCAAATCCAGCCGTGGACACCCCACCAGGCTCCCCGGGCACGTTAGGGCACAGGGTAATCTGGAAGGTGGCTTCGAGTTTTCCTGCTCTGTGCCTTGGCTCTCAAGTGGTTCCCAGTGCTCAGCCTGTGCCCAGTGCTCCAGAGGCTTCCCTACCCCAGAGGAGACTTTGCCACCATCCTTGCTAGGATTTTAGAAAGAAGCTTGGCTTTTTTATTTTTATTTTCCCTTGGGACTCCCCTTCCCTCTTTATGCCTCTGTTCTGCATCTTTTTCCCTGCAGAGCCATCTGCCCTCCGAGCTCACCCAGGTCTCACTGCATGACCCAAAGCTCGCCAGCTCAACGGGGCGGCTGAGTCACAGGAGTGCAAGAGGGAAGGAAAATACCCATGAAGTCATCTGGCTCATCCCTGGCTGCCAGTTCTGCATGGGTTCCCCACCAGATCCTTGGCACTCGCTCCCCAGATGGGAGTAACTCCGGCAAGGCAGCGAGAGGTGGGGACCTCGGTGAGAAGCCTCCAGCTGCGTTTCCTCCCGGCGGATCACCTCCGAGACGAGCCATTCACATTTCCTTTCCTCAGTTTCCTTAATTAGAAGTGGGCCTGGCATTTATCTGCCCTCCGGATACGGTCTGAAATAACAGACAAGACCCAGGAGCGCTGCCTGCCCACGGGTGGTTGGTTATTCCACCATCTCAGGGACCACACCGTGCAAGTTCCTCCGGCTGCCACCGCCTTCATTTCCAGTTACTCTTTTTTTGCCGTCACGGGGACTTCCAGGGTGTTCCCTCCCTCCCAGTGATCACACATGGGCTCAGAGCCAGCTTCGTGCTTCTTTTCCAGCAGGCAGCCGGAGTCACCCTGGGGACAGCTCTGAAATTCAGGACCGTGGTGTTGTGTTGTATTGAGTTGTGTTGAGTTGTGTTGTGTTGTGTTGGACCTGCCAGTGCCCAGCCCTCCAGGACCAACATTTCTGGGGGCAAAGACATGCCCAAAATATGCCCATTGCTTCCAGCTGGGCTGCTGGGAACCAGCCTGAGAGCATCCCCCTTTTCCCAGGGCTCTGGGGAGGGCAAATCACTGCAAGCGAGGAGCATCCCTGGCCCTGATTGCCCCCATCCCGTGTGTTCCCCACCTCTCCAAATGAAGAAGAGGCCCCAAAACCTGCACCAGTCTGTTATTTGGGGCTGTTCGAGGCAAAAAGGAGAGCCTGTCATGTCACGATGGTCTGTGTGTAGTTATCCACCACATTTCCCCTTCCGTCAAGGACAGAGATGCAGGGACATGGGGGTGCCATAGGGCTATGCGTACTAAGTTTTTGTTTGCTCCTCTGTGATTCTACCCTAGAATGAGCTGATCTGATGAAAACAATCAGAACCAGGCCAGGGCACAGGGCTGCCATGGGCCAAACCCCTGGCAGGGCCCCTCGCACCAAATCCCTACAAGCAGTGGGTTTCTCTAACCCTCCCTGACATCAGAAGTCCCCTCTCTTAACTAATTACAGGACCCATATTAAAATACTTTGAAAGAGACTTACCCAACAGGTCCCAATAGGCATCTGTTACACAGCAGCAGCTAAATCTTATTAAGCTTTAGCAAGCACCTTACTCCTGGCCTGCGGTAACAGGCTCATGCAGATCCTTTCTCAGCATTGCCAGCTCTTGGTATAATCAGGCAATCTCATAAAATATGTTTACAAGGGGCCTCAGGAGGTCATCTGGTCCAGGCCCCGCTCCCCAGCAGGAGCAGCTCCTTTATTTATTTTCTTAAAAAAAAAAAAAAAAGTATCAGCTAGGCTTCAAGGTCCCCATGGGGGTGAAGAATGATGCTTTGGCAGGACTCTTTATCCATTGATGAGATTAATTCATGCGGGCAACAGGGACTTTCAGTGATATGGAGAGAATAGGATGACTTGGTGGGTATTCCCCAAATAGCTGAGCCACAGGAAAATACCCACAAGGGTCCCCCAAGCCTTGGGGCTTGCTGATATTATATGTACATGTGTGAAACCAACTGTTTTCAAATGTTTTACTTTTATTTATTTCTTCATCATTAAAAAAAAAAAAAAAAAAAAAAAAAAAAAAAAAGGAACCATAAATTATCTCATCTTCTTGGAAAGCCCAGCAAATGTTTTTCTGAAGGCCCAGGCATTCCTCTCTCTGGCAACAAAGAGCATGTCTGTTTGCTGATCTTCCCAAGAGCTGGCAAAATGACTTTAAAACAACCTAAAAATGGGATTTTTTTTCTTCCTGCTTCCACGTGTATCATTCCTGAGTTGTGCTCTGCACTTTCAAAGGTTTTTCTGCTTAAGTACCATCTAAATAGCCCCTTCAAGTAGACCCAAGCAGGTTGTCCTTAGCATGGACACCTCTCATGATTTCATGGAGAATCAGGAACTTCATAGCATGGACCAAAGTGACTTTTTTAATGTAACTAGTCCCAGTACAAAATAAGGTCCTTATTGTCTTTATGACAATCAGGCATGTTAGGAATGAATGTGTTTTTGTTAGACAGAGCTGCAGGAGGTGTTTTTTAGGTCTGAAGGAATAGTGCCAAGCAAGCTTGGACTCTTTTCACGATCTGCCTGAGCCTGTGCTGTAAAATGCAGTGATTGACCAGCCAGTATTTGAGGTTGTTTACTGATAGTTTGCTTCCTTGGGAAAATCAGCAGCCAGACAGAAGAGAGAGACCTGGATCTGTGCACTGAGAGGCCCTGGGTGAGCTCAGAAGCCCTTTTTAGCTTGCTGATAATACCACAAGTGTGGTGCCAGCCCCTGGCTGTGCTGCTGGGGGCTGCTGCAGGTGGTAGGGAAACAACCAGAGATGGGGAAATCGGGAAACTGAGGTTGTACATGTGTGTGGGAGGCTTTAGGGGAGCTGAAAGTCAGGGTTACTGCACGGACAGATACCAGGACACTGCCTGCAGATCCATAGGAGACCTCATTAGCTCTGTTCTCATAAAACCTCTTGTTTACCTCATCCTTAGGGTGACAGGTGCCCTGGGGTAACCTATTCCTCTATCTTTAAGGTCACACACCTTGCCTCTGTATCTTAGGGATAGATGGCAATGACCAGGGATATGCCCAAGTCAAGGGTCTTTGACCTTGAACATATATTAACCGCGCAAGGGCCCAGGGAGGGAAAAGGGGAGATATGATAATGTGGGAAAAAGGGGAAAGGAGCAGACAGAGAGGAGAGAGAGAGAGAGCAGGGAGAAGAGGCTGATTTCTGCAGCCCAGCAGGACCCTGTTTGTGTGCCCTGGCTCTGATCACTGCTGTCCCCTCAGAGGGAAGTGCACAGAAATGTGCAAGCCCTCCCAAGAAGAAATCCCATCAAATCCATGGAAATAATTTTTCAGTTGATGTTTTTTAATGGATTGTGATTTTCTAGCCATCCCAGTCTCCAGATGTGGCCATACACAAGTTTTTTGAAGTTCCTCTGAAGAACTGCTGCTCTCATTTAAAAATAAAAACCATCACCATCCTTTTATTGACTCCTCGTTTCTTGCCACTATCTCATTTCAGGTTTCTCCTTGCTGGTAATGGACAAGTCATGGCATCAGCTTTTCCCAAAGTGTCTTTGTGCACGTGGTTTGCAGCATGAGGCCAGATGAGGCTGAGATGGGCTGGTGTGTGTTGAATGTCAGTGAGTGGTCAGGGGAAGGAAGGAAGGAAAAAGTGTGGGTGCATGGGGCTGGAGAAGGTCATCTTGGATCCAGTTCCTTCCACTGGTTTCACTGTAAAAGGATATGGGATGCTCAGTCAACTCTGAACATTGCAAAGAACAAGACATAAAAACAGGGGATGAGGAGCAGATTTGGATAGTGTCTTCTATTTGGATAGTGAGTTTTCTGGAAATGGACATTTGGAAGTGACAGAAGATATAAATTCCTGTTGAAATGGTTTGGGCTGGAGAAAAGGTGGGAAAAATTTTCTGGGAAAAAATAAAAAAATCCTTGCCATGGTCTCAAGGCAGGTCCAAAATGCCAACAGATTTCCTGAGATATTTCCAAATGTGACCTTTTTTTTTTTTTAATGATACACTGTCTTAAAAAAATAATAATAAAATAAAATATAAAATAAAAAAATCTCTATATGCAAACCAAAGGCAGCAAAGGGAAGAGCAAAATGCTTTCAGAAAGAAACAAAATCAGTAACTGAGCTCAAATGCACAGTTACGAACTGAGCCAAAAGGACTTTTGTTGTTCTCCAATTTCACTTTTCTTTCTGAAAAACCTGGGGAAAAAAAAAATAATAATAAAAAACACCTCTGGTCTTTCCAATCTACCTGTGTTTGTTTCTGTCCCCACTTTCCAGCCCCATTTGGGGCTCAGCCTCCCTTGACTCTCACTCAGAACCAGCTCTCTTCACCTGTGCTGGGGCTGCTAGAGTTTTGCAGAGATGAGGCAAAAACAGGATCCAAAACTTTTCACTGCTAGTGCATGGATGGCAGGCGTGTTCCCAGAGACTTCTCCTGCCTTGCTCCATCCTGCAACCAGGCACACTTAAACAAAGGGAAAAACCTGCTGCTCCTTAGTCCTGCTATGCCCCGTTTGCAATATTGAAGCAGGACCAAGAAGCCATGGGTTGTCTTTCAAGCAGCTCTGGGCAGTTTCTCTCAAACTGTTGGCAGTTGTTGGGGGCTCAGAACAGGGCAATATTTCTAGGATATATACGAGGGAGTCATTTCCCAAGTCCTGCCACGCCACTCTCTGTTCACGCCAGGCAGGTTAGCTAGCAAACCCATCTTATTGAATGCTGAAGCAGACTGGATCCAGCCAAGAGATCTGGCAAACCATCAGCTGCAAAACAGCCAGAAACAAGCTGAGGGAAAATATTTTTGTAGTCACAATATCAAGCCCACCCATTGACCATGCATCAGGTATTTTCCAGCACCACTGAAACTCTCTCTTAGCTTTTATTTTTAGACTAAAGGTGCTTTTGGTCATGTTATTTCATTTTTTATTTTTTTGGGGGGGGGAATTTCTTGCAAATAAAAGGGTTTTATTTCATGGTGTTTAGTTTTCTTTTAAAGTCTAGTAAAGCAGGTTTAGGATTTATGGCTGCAACTCCAATGTCATTGTCTTAAAGGTTGCCCTCTCTCTGGTCTTCGGCCAGAGAGTCTAGGAGTTGGGTGTTTTTACCTGTGTTAAGGTGTGAGTAGGCTGCCAGATCTTGGCTCATGAGCTCCCAGAGGGCAGAAATTTCCCATGAGAGAGTCTCAACTCCCATGAGCAAAGTGAGCTTTTTGAAAATATAAAATAAAATAAAATAAAATAAAATAAAATAATAAATAAAATAAAATAAAATAAAATAAAATAAAATAAAATAAAATAAAATAAAATAAAATAAAATAAAATAAAATAAAATAAAATAAAATAAAATAAAAATAAATAAAGCCCTCGAGCTCAGAAGTCAGCATCACATGTCATTGGGTTGGTCAGCAGTGATACTCCTGGATGGATATTGGGCAAAACACAGAACCATCAGTGGGACCCAGATCCATCTGTCTCCTGCAGCAGCAGCTGAAGGACACCAGAACACTCTGGGGCATCTCAAACAATACCAGATGACCATGTCTGGACCCTTGAATTCCACCTCATTGGCTACACTTAGTGTCTTCATTGGCTGTAAATGGAGCTTGGACACCCAGGTTGCTTGAAAAGACTTAAATGTTTTTAGGGTTATGACTGCCTGAGCAGAGAGTACAGGATCATGCATGCTATGCTACCTGTCAGCTGCTAGTCCTGCTCTCTGCCTGCTTGTTCAGTGTTTAATTCCTCCCTGCACAGCCAGGGTGATGAAATAATCATTTTGCAATGTGCCAGCTGCTGCTCAGGCTCTTGCAAACCTTATCCCAGCCCACCACTGAAATCCTTTACCACTTCTTTCCACCTAAGAGGCAGAATAAAAATGCAGATCTCAATAGGGAACTCATTTCTGGGGAAAATCTGAATATCACTGCTGAGCTAGCAGTGCAGCTGGGGTGGTCTCCGAATACAGCCATTGCAATGACTCAGGGCTGAAATGAGTGATTCCTTCATATTTAGGTATTCGGATATCACTGATGGTGGGAGACCATCGCAATGAACAAGGATGATAATAGCACATACTGCTTGATCCAGTGTAAGTGCTTGCTGAGCAATCTCATCTCACTGTTTCCTTATGTTGTCTTCCCTCTCCACAGCTCGTTGCCATCTGAGTGCAGTCTATAGGGTAGAATCCTCATCCTGGAGGTACCAGCTGGGTCTCTCCAGATCTATCCCAAAATCCAGCGGTTGGTATATGTCTGGGTAATCCGACTTCCACCCAATCCTTACATAAGGTTCACTGAGTTGCATGTAGATGACTCCATCTGAGTTAGACACCCACTGGCAGGCTTCCACTATAGCTATTGGAGATCTACACAATATGCGTGGTGGGACCTAGATGGTAATTCTTCTCCCTTTAAGCACCTAAGGCCTCATTCTAGTCAGTACAATCCATTCGTGGAAATCAGTTGTCTTAATACAAGCATCTTAGGCCATGTGAGAGAACCTAGGATATCCAAGACACCAGCATGTAGCTGGCAGATATGACTCAGGCCCTCCTGGACCAGCAGTTGTAGTCCACGCAAGACTGACTGAGACAACATCTCCAGAGCCACAGCCCTGAAGACTAGGGCTCGAGAGCCAAAATACACTGAGTCTCTTAGTGAGCAACCCAGGCAGAGTATTGGCAACTAGACCCAGGAGCACATGAGAAAGCAAAATAACCCACACCCTGCCTGACACTGGCATGTTGAGCACACTGGGGATTTAAAATATCTTGCAAAATGTTCCTTTAGCATCCAAAGATGTAATATTGTGTGCATGCAGAGCATCTGCTGCCTGAGCTGAGCTGAAGGTGTGCTTAACTCTAACTGTCCATGTCTTCGGAAAACTATATGTGCATCAGTTTGAAACAGCTGGGCAAGGTTTCCTATCTAAAAGGACTAGGGGTTTCTGGAAACGAAGGTTTTGTTTTATTTATAAAGCCTATTTTGGGGAAAAAGGAAGTAGAATTTAAGCTCAATATGTTGAAGTGTTTCCCCTTATTTGTTTCAAATATCTGTTTTATTTTGAAATTTCTGTTCAAATGTTGGACTTCCATGTTTTTTCTCTTTCTTCCCTGTCTTAAAACAGATCTTTTGTCTTCTGTCTTTTGTTTTCTCCTTTATTATACCAAACAGCCTTAGCAATCCAGCTCTCAGACACCTTTGATGATCCCAGACTTAGTTCTGTATTTGGGGAACTTCCTCTTTCACTATTCCCAGGAACCCAGGTATCCCATATAATAGACTTACAGCTTGCAGAACACCCATCCAGTCTACATCCATGTACTAGCCTGAAGAAAAAAAGGTATCTTTCTGTGACAGTATCAGGTGTTTTGTCTCATCATGACTTTGATGACATCCTGATCAAACAGATTCTCCCATCATATTATTACATCACAAATTTTCCTTCTCATTAGAAATTAGAGAAGGTGGAAAATTCAATTCCCTGAATTTCCAGCAGCACACACCAAGAATGACAGGTAATTAGTACTGGATAACTGAGCATTCATAGAGCAAAAATACAGATGGGACGGTTGGACTGGAGATGCATCTAAAAATATGGCAATGATGGCACACAATGCGGGGATTAATTAGTAATGATAAGCTAGAAAGGAGTGATTAATTCTGCCCCATGCAAGAACTGATTGTGTTTCACCTGTGATGAACCTGATGAGTAAACCTTGTGCTACAATGCTGCTGACCTCAGCCACAGCATTTCTGCATCCCCAGCAAAGCAACAGAAGTGAAGGTGCAAAACAAACGGCGGCTACTAAGCCTCCTGGGGTTGTATACAGAGCATGGATTCTGGCAGGATTAATTTCCAAGGTCAACATAGTGCCCATGAAAACGTGGGGAGCACCAGCCTGCGGCACATGATTTGTTGCGTGGGAGCCCAAAACGAGCCATTACATGGCAATATCCTCATGGCTCTGTCAGCAGTGGTGCTGGCGAGATGGGCAAGTCGGGGTGCTTTCTGTATGGGACCCATTGTTTGGCAAATCAGAGGACCTTCCTATGTGGTTAATGGGTCAGCAAACTCTGTTGCTTTAATGGTTAATCATCTACTCACATTGTTCAACGAGTAAACCCGTGCAGATAGTGCTCCTTGCCTCCAGCGCATGCGACAGGCCGACTTCCCAGCTGTGAGCAGGGAAAGTATTCGACACTGGGAGAATGGGAGAGAGGAGAAATGTGGGGCTATGGGGCTCTGATTCCAGCTTAGTGGAAACATCTGGAGCAATAGCACATGAATACATAGGTGTGTCCATACAAAACCAGGTGTGTGCACACGCAGCAATGTGTGTATGAACAGACACTGATCCACATGAAATGAATGTGTCAGCCCCACAGCTCTTTATGACTATCAGACACAACGTAAATGGCTGCAAGCTGACATGCAGAATTCACTCTCACCTTTCTTAAGCACCAGCTCAGTTTGAGGGCCATCACCACTTAGGACTTCAGAGTCTCAGTAGTACCTCTCCTCCTGGTTGTTTAAAAATCATACAACTCCTGGATCCCAAATTCACAAATCCTACCCGTAGGCCCTGCATTGTCTGCATAGATCTAGCATAGATGTTTTGGACCTCAGTTTCAGGTGACCTAGTTGTCCCTGATTTCCTGGTGTCATTTTGGAAGCTTCTCTTATTTGGACATCTCTAA